ACGCTACTCTATCAAAATATCATAATATTAGGTTTGAACTTCCGATTGCACAATAAATTATGTTTCTTAATTACTTAAATTTTCATAACTTGAATGGTAAGAGGAAGGGTTACAGAGCCGAGAATTGAGGGGGGGAGGGGAGGTTGTAAATGGTCAGTTATAGGTTGTCCCACGAAACATGACAGTTGGTAACTAGTTTAGAATGCCTTTTTCCATAATTTTTTGAGTTGTTTGGTACCAAAGATCAATAAAAATATTATATGGGAGTCATTTTATATTAAAATTGATTTCAAAGTAAAAGATAATGAAGCAAAAGGATGTTTTAACTAAAAATAACGATTTTGTAAGTGTCATGTTTCGTGGGACACCCTGTATAATATTCTACTGTGTTACTAGTGTGTATTGACACAGCTTTTGGGTTTAAGACCGGCACGTGGAAGGCGACGAAATTAATCAATATCATTTCAATAAATGAATATGTCATTTTGCCATTACTGGACCTTGAGTTTTTAAATAAAAACATTAAAGGCAAGGGCGTATACAGAAAAAATCTATTGGGGGGGGGGGCAAAATTTGCGCGAAGCGCCAAAAAACGTTTTTGCCCCCTCCCCCAAGAACTCCTTGGGGGTTGGGCAAAATTTGACCTGTAAATTCAAAACATTTGGCTTCTTAAATCAGGCATAAGTATAAGATACTTTAAAGGTACACATACAGTCCAATTACCTTGCATGTACCATACTTTATCTCACCTTTAAACCAAACTAGCAGGGAAAAAAAGCATTCAAAGAGGAATAAAAAGTTTGGAAAAGGCTGTTAACCTATTGACATTATAAAGTGTCGTAAGTTTACAAACATTATGATTACATTGAAAACTACTGACTGACGCTTGGTTTAAACCTCTGGAATATGTTTGACATCAAAGTTAGAACAAATAATCAACCAGAAGGTTATAACTATGCACTGGTCATTAAAATATTAATCTCAAAACATCCAAACCAATATACATGTATTAGGTAGTGTTTTAAAAGAGTTGAATATTGCATCCGACAATGCTCTGGTGTCAGTGATATTGAGATATTATATATTTGCGAATTTGTAAAAATATATCATACATAAGAAGGTAATTTATTCGTAAATAGCTTTCTTGTCTAAATTATAGATTTTATAGTTCGACAATTTTTTTATTAGATATTGTATTTGCAGCTTGACTATTTAAAATATTTTATGTGTATAATAAGATATTTTTAAAGTTTAGTTTATAAAAGTAGTTAATTCGACAAAAATTTAAATAAATGTGAACATATTCAACAATAAACTTATAAACATGCAAATGTAAAAATGATAAGAGTAGCGTTTTTTTTCTTTACTAGCGTTTTATGCATAGATAAATATCTATGGTTTTATGAGGTAGCGTTTTATCTATGTAGCGTTTCATGAGTGTACAGTAAACTAATTAGCTGTTAAGGAACAGGTTAAGAAAATTAAAATGACCTATTATCATCGAAAATAAGTAATATTATTAAATTATTGGTTTCTGTAATGTTTCTTTGTTCACTAATATTTTCTGTAGATTTCCTGGAATTTTTTTTTGAAAAAGACGGAACTTGTAGAAATCTGCGAACGAGGTTCATAAAGAAAAAGAAATTCAATATATTGATGAAAAAGAAATAATTGATTCTAACATTAATTTATTTTTAAAATTTCAATTGAGAAATATGTTTCTTAACATCTAATTAGTTTACAGTACAATTTTTTTACAATTTTTGTCAACGTTATTTAATTATTTTTAAAAAATCGATTCTCAAAACGTAACAACCCAAATGGATGATTTTGAACGTCGACTTTGCGCTCAAACTCAGTAATTACTAATTATACATCATTATTTCGTTTTCTCAGTTCAACTACCATACATTGCCGGTCACTCCCTTTGAAAAATATGCAATTTATATTATTTTGTTATTTTGTGACGTATGTACGGAAATAAATGAATATGAATCAAGTTGATTGTCGCAAATTTTTTCACATAAAACCTGAAAAAAATTTTCGTTTGTGACGATAATTTTTTTCTCTCTAAAATTTACTTAACTGGTCTAGTGTGTGGACTAGGTGTCTATAATATATATATGTCTAGTTGTCTGGGTGTCTAGTGTGTGGACTAGGTGTATATAATATATATATATGTCTAGTAGTCTGGGTGTCTAGTGTGTGGACTAGGTGTTTATAATATATATATGTCTAGTTGTCTGGGTGTCTAGTGTGTGGACTAGGTGTTTATAATATATATATGTCTAGTTGTCTGGGTGTCTATAATATATATATATATGTCAAGTTGTCTGGGTGTCTAGTGTGTGGACTAGGTGTATATAATATATATAT